GCACGCCGCCGCGCCCTCCTCGAGCGAGCGGGCGCGCGACGCGGAGAGCGCCGCGGAGGCGCCGCTCACCGCCGCAGACCCGGCTGCGGCGGCGGGCAGCAGCAGCAGCTCGGCGATCTGAGCGCCAGACAGCGGGGCGCAGGTCGACTCGTGCGCCGTCACACCAGGAGGGAGCGGCCCTCCGACGCTCCAGTGGCGGAGGTCCTTGGTCGGAGCGGGGAAGACGAACCGCTGCCGCAGCGCCTCCACCCCATCCACGCGCACGCACAGCCGAGGCACCGTCCCCGACCCGTCGCCGCCGCCGCCGCCGCCGCCGCCGCCGCCGCCGCCGCCGCCGCCGCTGCTCCCGCCGCTTGCACGCGGAGGAGAGCGAGGCTCGCCACCGCTCTCAAAGGGCCAGAAGAAGCGGCGCGCCGGCTGGCTGAGCTCGACGGCCACCCAGTGCCACTCGCCGGCCGACAGAGGCGCAGGCACCTGCGCCGACGCCGCCCCGCCCTTAGGGCTCATCGCGACGACCGTGAGCAAGCCTCCTCGCAGCGACACCTCGACGCCGTGGCCGGCGGTGGCGAGGAAGGAGCACACGCTCTGCGGCGCCGCCCCGTCGGCGCCTTCGTCGCTGCGCCGCCAACTCCCACGGCCGTCGCCGCTGTCGCCGCCGCCGCCGCCGCCGCCTGTCCCGGTGTGCCGATTGGACGAGGGCGAGCCGCTCGAAGAGCGAGGAGGCCTCGGCGAGGGCGGCACGTCGAGCCGCAGCCAGAACCAGATTACAAAGGCGTCGCGGCCAAAGCACTCGCCCTGCAGCGGCGGCTGCGGAGCCGGCGGGTGCACGCCGTTGAAGGCAAAGAACCGGCGCGGCGTGCCGAGCGGCTCACTGGCTGTGCGGGAGATGGCCTGAGTCAGGGCGTGCAGCAGGGCGCCCTCGCCAGTCGCCGTGTGCAGCGCGAGCAGCCGGCGTAGCTGGTTCGGGTGCAGCGAGTGAGCAGCGAGCACCGCAAAGAGACGCATCGCTGCCGCCGCCCGCTCGCCACCCGCGCCGCCGCCGGACGGAGCACACTCCGCCTCGAGGACGCCAAGCGTATCGTCGAGGAGCCCGTCGTCAGTGGCCTGGAGCGTGCTCCATAGCGAGGCTCCTAGGAGGTCCCGCTGGCGCCGGAGCGAGGAGGTGGAATGCATCGGCGACCGTCTGTAGAAAGAAGAAAAACGACGCCAAGCCCACACGCCGGGCCGCACGATAATGCTGCTGGGACTGCCGCTCAACACCAAGACACTGCGCGTCGAGCATTAGAGGTTTTGATCGAATGAAAGTGGTACGAGGACACGCCGGGTCGCCAGCTAGAAAGAATTTAAACAACCCAACTCTCCCTCACAGCTAGAAAGAACACCATGGCGGCGCGGCCATGAGCTTGTTTGTGTCTGTGTGTCGCTCGTGCGTGTCGTCATCATCTGTCCAGCGTCCACCCATACCGCGTTGGTGTCCAGTCCGAGCCTAACTGTTCTTCACCTTTCTACCTAACCTAAAAAAGCCCACACGCCCACGCCCTACCCCGTGCCGCAGGAGAATGCTGCTTGGACTGCCGCTCAACACCAAGACACTGCGCGTCGAGCATGAGGTTTTGAGCAACCGCGCACCCCCCCTCGGCCGTGCGCTCCTCGCGGACGCAAAGGCGGATGGGGTGGAGCCGTCGCGATCGGGGAGTTCAAACACGGGATACGTCGGCACGGGGTATCGGGTGCAGACGCGCGGTGCCTTTACGTCGGTGCACGGCGCCACGTACCGAACCGCTGAGCACGCTGCTATCGCGCGCGCTCGCCTTCTCGTTCCAACCCGGGACGTCAGCGGACGACGGGCGCTCGCGTGCGACAGCGTCGCTCTCTGCCGAAGAAGCGGTCCAGCAGGCGGGGAGGGAGGGCCTCACTCTGGCTGCGAGCAGCAGCAGCAACAGCGGCTACAAAGGCGTCTGCTACAGCCCGAGTCAGAACGGCAGGAAGAAGTCCAGGCTGAACAAATTGCAGAACCGTAAAACGATTCAAGTCTGATAAATCGAAACGCGCCTTAGCTAGGGGGGGGGCGGGGGGAAGTGTGAGATCGCATTGAGGGAGGGAACTTCAACCTCCCTCAATGGACAATGCGTGCTGGTTGCGAAAGCAAGCGCAGGCGGTAGCCGGTAGTCGAGGTTGCCAGATTCTTTTCTGGGTTGGGATTTTTTTTACGGACGACCCAAGGGAGGGATGGGAGGACGGCACGCCGCCACCACACAGGGATTTTAAGGAGAGGAGTGTGGTGCTAGCCGTCGCCCACCCTAACCCTTGGGCGTCTGCCTCTTTCTATCTCCCTTCGCAGTCCCTCGCCGATTCTCCGGGCTGGGAATCGTGTGTGCGACAATCTCAAAATTCTTTCCGTGCGCGCGGGAGTTGCCTTGTAAAATTCTTTCCGCCTCTAATGGGCACCAACCTGGCAATCTTCGAACGCGATCGACCTCAGATCCCCATGTTCGCTCTGCTCACCTCCAGCCCCGCGCTCGTCGTCTCGCCGTCGCTCGCGGTCCAGCGCGGCTTCGCTGCCGCGGCGCCCGTCGCCCTTCCCACGGTGAGTATGTCCGCCGACTCCACGCTCGCCTCCTTCTCGGAGACGCTCGCTGGCGGTGCACCTCCCACCTCCGGCGCATCGCCCGGCCTCGACCCGCCGCTCACCGTGTCTCTCTCCACCCTAGTCGTCGCCGTGGACGGCGGCACCATCGGCCTCGACGTCTCCTTTGGCGCCTTCCTCGCCGTCATCCTCGGCCTGTTCATCCCGGTCGTTTTTCTTGTGACGCTGTACATCCAGTCAGAGGCGCAGGGCAC